CTTTTAATGGCCAGCACCTCTGATTCATATAAATGTGACTTGATTGGTAATATATATTGTATATACAATGTTTCAGCAGGTGAATTGATGTGTATGGTGGGAGAGTCTATATTAATCTTCTTGTTCTAAAAATTTAACAATAAACATATTGAGCAAGAGCATCACCAATATAACATGTCGGATGACATGAAGAACAACCCTCCACGTCCATGGGTCATTGGAAATGACAGCAAACCATGCCACGAAGATGATTAGAAAATTGCCTGAGGACTTCAGGCCAGACTGCAGCAGACCCAGAGTCTCTCCCAGCCTGAGTCTCCAAAGCCTTAGTTTATGGTGGTGTTAAGGTGGTTTTTAACACCAGTCAATTAGATGTTTTTCAAGAAAAGCCTGTATATGGAGAAATAAGATGTGATAACAGAGGACTTTCCAGTATGTCTGAAATAGGTTGGCCTAAGTGAGAAACAGACTTAATTAATTTTTTTCAGTACTCACGGGAATCCCTTCTCTTATGTGTCCAGGCCATTCTAGGGGGAGGAAATAATGCTTTACTAGTTGATAAAGCAGAAGAAGGGGCTTTCTGCTAAGAAGCCTATTTCTCAGTATGAGTTCCTCCTATATCTTTACTTGATTATGAATATCCCCTTGAAAGTTCATGGGGGTGTGCCAGACACAGGGTCGGTTCGAGGAATGGACAAGGGGCTCAGAGAGTTATCTTGGATTCTAAGAATTTCTGAAAGTCATGACATTGACTGAGTTTTCATTCTTTGCCGGAGCCGCCCGGGCCTGGGATGAGAGATGGACTGTGTGTGCACTAGTAAAAGGCTCTCTGAGAACCACAGCAGTGGCTTGTGTCAGATGGCTGGCAATGAAGCCTGGCATAAGCAGGACGTTTGCTTGGCTTCTACATTAAGCAAGAACTCTGAGGCAGGATTACAACACTGGGGACAAATACGGATAAAATCAATTGTGTTCCCAAAGGCCGCAGCCACGCAAGACAAAGGAGAGATTAGGGGGGTGGGGGGGGCGATAACCAAAAGAAGAGAGAGAGGGAAAAGAAGAAGGAGAAGAAGAAAGAAAGAAAGAAAGAAAGGGAAGGAATAAGAGAAAAAACTAGAAATATCAGAGAAGTTTTTCATTAGTGCTCTGATTGTCCTGTGGCCTGAATTATTGGGATAATTGCCTTAATGACTCACCTCGAGTGTTTAAGCAGCCTGCATACAAAACAATAGGGCAAATGCACTAGAAAAGCCCTGGTAATTCTGGGAATAATTCCCCGAACGGTTGTTTTATAAGAACTGCTTTTGTCTAAAATAGCCCTCTTCTGAACATTTACCCCAGAGCATCAACATCGAGCTATTTATATTGATCTGCAGTTATTTCATGTATGTCTAAAATTAAGTGTGGGTAATTGCAAAAACATTGACAAGTCAACTAAAGTGTGAATAGTTAAAACGTTACCCTTGAGCAAACATTGCCAGAAATAGAGCCCTGCTCATTAATGGCTATTTCACTGGTTCAAAATTAATTTCTAAATTTAGTGTGACTGCTTCTTCCTATTCAATGGAACCAATGAAACCTGCAGCATCTAATCTCCCACTTGCTGCCTAAAGCCTTGAGTCCGTTCCGCGTTGACTCCACTTCATGTTTTTGTGCTGCTGAGAAACACCATCCACCCACCGCACCCCCCCTGAAAGTTGGAATCATGCATGTTAGTAAGTATTTCAGTTATGCTATTGACGTCAATGGAGTCATTAAATAGATTGCTGGCCCTCCCAGAGGCAAATCACTGCCAGGGACCTAGATACAGACACGTTTTTTTTACAAAGACAACCATCAGGTTTTGCTATAGCAGTAAGCCAGAGAAAGGGAAAAGTTTACACTGTAGCAGACCTATCTCCAAACACAGTTTATTTTTTTCTTTTGCATTTTAGTTCCGGCCTTTCTTTCTCTTTGGTTACAGTAGGCTCAGGCGATGCCCAGATATTGTTGCCTCGGTGTTTTGTGTGTAAAGCATCTCCTGTCTTTGAGACCGTGAGGGGTGGCACCCCACTTCTGAAAACGTGTCTCACCTTTAGCTCTACACAGCCCATCTTGATGTTTATTTGGTGGCATAAATCGTCTGGGCAAACCACTATTGTCTGCCAGTGAGGCTGTGTTTGACATACAGTTCCCTGCATAAAAGGTTTCTTCTGAGCACGCACGCACACGCACAAGCACACGCACCACTTCGTTCTTTCTGCCACTTCTGTCCGCTGGTGGCCACAGCCCTTCATCTATGAATCAACCTTTATGCAGCCGCTCAGTGCTGTGGCAGCGGGGCTCTGAAGCAAAGGGTGGAGGAGGAGGCTAGAGAGAAAGATTCACTTCTCCAGCTGCCTCATCTGCAGAGCTGCCGCAGGAAACAGGAGGCTGCCCACGTGCCTGTGTCCTCCCAAACCCCAGCTGCTGCCTCCCTCAAGCCTGGTCATGCAGCTCCCAGGCATGTGGGAGAGAGCCCTTCAGGAAACGTCTGTCTCCTTCTGGGTATTTCTGACAGCTCTGTTTACCTGGGCAGCCCCAGGAGTCAGAGCCAAAGATTCACCTCACACCTGGACGCCTCTCCCTCCCAGGCTCAGAGTTAGGGAGCCATCTTGAGCAGACAGCTTTCTTCAGATCTGGTCATCGGAACCCACCATGTTGGTTTCAGCTGTCATCTCCCTTTCTAACCGGCGCTCCCCTACTCCAGCACTGCCCCATTTGCTTATCAGCTCGTGTGTGTGTGTACACATATTTATATATATGTTTGTTTTTCTTTTTTTATTTAGTATGTACATAAATGCCAGACATCTGACCACCGTTGGTAACCCCTTTTGGTTCATCTGGAGGCCTGGATCCATCCCCCCTCCACCGTTGTTCCTTCTCCTATATTCCTGGCTCTGAGTAGTGGCTTCAGAGTCCATCCTTTATCTCTCTCTTCACCTCCAACAGTCAATTCTTGTAGCTGTTTCTCTAATCACCCCCTACCCCCTCCTCCTTAGTTCAGTGCTTCATCCCCCCATACCTAGACCATTATGTTGGTCCTCCCACTTGATCTATTGTCCTCGGGCCTTCCCCGTTGCAATCCACCCTCTATCCTGGTACTAGAATTACTCTTCTAAAACCCAGTCATAGTTATTTGCTTAGCTGGCTATCGTTTGCCTTCAACACAGGATCCCCACTTTTTACCAATTCCTTCAGAATTTTGCTCCTAATTCCTTCTTTGTTCTCATCTTTCACTTTAAGCCCCACGCACAGCTGATGGCAGAGATGCCCTGAACATACTGTCCCTTAAATATGCCAGGCTCTTCTTGCCTTTCTGCCTTTGTGCATGCGGTTCCCTCTGTCTGGGCTGCCTTTTCCCAAAAATATCACTCACATATTCAGCTCAGGGATATTCTTCCATTGTCAAGTGAACCAGTTCTTTCCACTCACTGATTCTTGGATTCTGAGTCAGGATTCAACTAAATACATAGTCTCAATCCAGATTCTGATCTATAGCACATGCTTAGTAAATACTAATTCCTTTACTTATTCCCATCTTAAAAGTCCATTCCTTATCCTTTAAGACTCAGCATATATGCCATCTTCTGTATGTGCTCCCTGCAACTCATCCAAAATTACTCTCAATTATTAATTATTATTATCTCAAAATCTCAATTATTGCACTTGCCATATTATGCTGTATTTATTTATTTAATTTTATTCCCTTTTAAACTAAGATTGTCTCAAGTTTAAGTACTAATGTTTTTTTTTATATCCCCAATTTATAGAACATGACCTGGAATATAGTAGATGCTCAGTAAATCTTTATGGACTGAACAAGTACAAATGAGCATATGCCCATGCCTGAATCAGAAAGGATATGAGAACTCATATTTGGCTTGTCTAAATATCTTCTAGTTCTCAGGCATGTATACAATGCTGACATTCCTGGCTAATCTTGACTACATGTAACTTTTTTTCACTGGAAGTAAGCCTTTCTCGTCCATTATTCAGGCAGTGTTAAAATAAATATGATAAAAGTGGCAGTGTTAAAATAAATACAATAAAAAAAATGACTCAATGTGACTAGCTTATTACTCTGTATTATCTCTTAGTGCCAAGTACAGTGCCTCGCACAAAGTAGGTCCTCAATTAGTATATTGAATTGAGCTGGGCTGGGAATCCGTGGGCCAATACCTTAGACAAATTACTTCTCTGAGACTCAGGTTTTTTTGGTCTAGAAAGTGGACATTTTAATATTCTATCATGTAAGATTGCTGTGTGGGTTAAATGAGAAAAGGTATGCATGTAGTGGTTAAAAGTAAAGACTCTGGAGCCAGACTGCCCCTTTCAAATCCCAACTCCATTAGTATGTGGCCTTGGGACAGATGATTTAACCTCTCCATGTCCCAGTCTCCTCATCTCCAAAACCTGGATAGAAATTTTACAAACCTCCTATGTTGGTTGTAAGGATTGAATGTGTGAACATACAAAAAGCACTTAGAAAAGTGACAATATTAGTATCATCTTATTAATCACGTTATGCAACATGCTTCCCACAGCCCCCAGCACATAGCAGGTAGTCAGTGTGCGAAAGCTGAGAGCCCAGGCCTGCTGGCATAAGTAGGGAACCAAAACAGAAAGTCCTGTGACAGATCTGTCTAAAAGGTTCTGATCTACTTCCCTTTTATAGGAATACAATCTAGAAGGCAAGCTGTCTTTGAAGCTTAAGATTGGTTTTCCTTGAAACCATAAAAATCTGATTATATGGAAATACATTTGGAGCTGAAGGTAGGACACCATACAGGATGGCTCTTTCTCCTAAAGACAGATTGCAGAGAACGCTCAGTTAGGACTCTGATAAACTGGATCATAGTTAACTGAGAGCTTTCTCTTGCATAAGCGTGAGAGGACTTCGCTTTATAGGATAGAATAATTGCAGCTCCACAGCTCATTACAGTTGTATTTAAATACAGTGTTCAGGGCTTGGTACCTACCTGCACAGATACAGGCTTTTCAACTCAGGGAGCTCAGCAGAGATGAGCAACGGAAGCTGGTCCAGAGCTTCCCTTTGGAGAGAAGACAAAGCCTACTAGCAGAGGCCAGCCTAGGGGAGGGCTTTGACTTCTTTTGGAAAGGCTCTTCTGCCTTCTCTCAGTTTCTTCTGAGAATGGGAAGGCCCCCTCCTACCCACCTGTTTCTTTCTCTTCCCTTTATTGGGAGGGAGGAAGAAAAGAAGGAGGTCAGGGTTGGCCTAGAGAAGGATAAACATGAATGTAGGGAAATGAAGGAGGAAGGAAGAGAACTTTCTAAGTTCCCTGTTTTTCCCGCCTGCATCCCCCAAACCACATGATCCTTGGGGGCAGGGTGAATTCTGCTTGCTTGCTTCTGATCAACCCCTGGCCAGCACTTTATGGAGTTGCCTTTAGAGCTGTTCTCGGAAGCCAGAAGCATTTCAGGGAACAGTCTTTCACCCAAGAGAAGGGAAACAAAGCAGGGACTGTCCCCTTGAAACAGAGAACAGGCAACAGAACTCACTGGATCTTTTTCTTAGTTTATTGTCTTGACTTACTCCCAGCCAGAGCTGTTGACAAGTACCAAACGTCACGCCTCGGAGTTTTGTCTACTTTCCTGCCTCCCCTTTGGCTGTGTGCATGGTGTGAGGTGGGGCCATGGCAATTATCCAGTCCGTTTGATCCGTGGAGGCAGCCCGGTCAGTACCGCAGTCTTTGCCCCTACCCCCTGACTTGTGCATTGACTTCATGTTTCTAGGGTCTAGTCTGGCTAGTACTGCTTGCCTAGCAAAGCATAGAATTTCAGAAGCCCACCTGCCTGCCTCTTAGTGCAGTAGAGGAAAAGAACTAGAAGTTATTCAAGTCCTGGGTGCCTGGGTGGCTCAGTTGGTTAGAAGTTATTCAAGTCCTGATATGTGCCAGGCACTGGGCTAGGCACTCTGCATGCATGATCTCACTTAATTCTCAACACTGAACTGTCCTGCAGATTGTTGTCCTGATTTCACAGATTTAGAAAAGGAGGCTCAGGGAATACATGGGGTCTTCTCAAAACCACATAATTAGTGACAAAGTCAGAACTGAAACCTAGGTCTGTATTTCTTGAAAAACACATGCTCTTTCCTCTAGTCTAGACCACGCTGTCCCTGCCCCACCCCCATTATAAACCTCGGAAGTTATAACTGACGGAACGGGGGATGGTGAGCATTTCACAACAGGAGAGCAAACAAACATACTGAATTACCTACAGCCTTCATAATTACTATATAATAATTCCCTTTAATTCCTTTGTTACCTATCCATTTTATTGTAAGTAATAAAAAATGTGTAAATCTTAAAAGAGGTGTCTCATACATGCCCATCATTCGTTTATTAATTTATTCCATAAATGTCTATTAGATGCTTACTGTATATGTGACACTGTGTTAGACACTGGAGATATAATAGTGAAGATAAAGAATTTAGAGCCTGACCTCGTGGGCCGTGTAGCCCAGGAAATATTAAGAAAATAAATACAAGATTACACATTTGATCATTATAATGAAGAAACGTACAGAATACTATAATATTGCCTCACCTGTAAAGATGGGAAGAATACTAGTACTTACCATTAGGATTGTTGTAATATTTAAGTAAGCTGTTATACGTAAAGCATTTAGAGTACTGCCTACCATCTAGTATTATTTAGCGTTTGCTCTAGTTATTATTATCATTAGTTATTATTGGAATTAATGTAGATTAAGGGACAGGGAAGGCCTTTGTAAATGACCTGGAATTTGCGACCTGAACACTGAGTGGGAGCTGGGTGGGTAGAGACAGTAAGTAACACTTTCCAGGTGCTCCAGCCTGAGATCTGGATCAATAGGGTGGTAGTGAAGAGCGAGGCCCAAGAAGCTGAGAAAGACGAGGTTGAGCAGAGCATTTGTAGGCCATGGATGAAACGTGTAAATTTTATTCTTAATTATGTGGGAAGCCATGAAGGAATTTTGAGAAGAAGATTGATGTGATCTGATTTGAATTTCAAATACAGCACTTCTCCCTGGGCCACAAGTCTGGGCTGCTGGCCCCTCCTGTGGGCTCCCAGGGACATGTGCTTTCTCTTGCACACTACTCGGCACCTGCCCCTTCCATCCACCTCGTGGCTAAGCAGGCGAGATCTGGATCCATACTGGCTGAGTTTAGTCCTGGTTCTATTCCTTTCTTTCTGTAGGACTATAAACAAGTAATTCCACATCTCCGGGCCTTCATTTCCTCATATGTACAATGAGGATAATAATGAGACCTTCAGCAGAGAATCGTCGTGAGAGCTAGTTTAATATATGTAAAGGGTTTAGCACAATGCCACACACAGAAAGCACTAGATAAATGTTAATACTTTTTAGTGTATTATAACTGCCCATTTTCTTGATTACTTACACCTCTACACTGTGTACTCAGTGCCTGGCACAGGGCAGGTGCTCAAAAAATATTTATTGAAAAACATCATTGAGGGGTGCCTGGGTGGCTCAGTCAGTTAAGCATCCGCCTTCGGCTCAGGTCATGATCCCAGGGTTCCAGGATCGAGCCCCCTATGGGGGGCTCAGCGGGGAGTCTGCTTCTCGCTTTCCCTCTGCCCCTCTCCCCACTTGTGTTCTGTCTCTCTCTCTCAAATAAATAAATTAAATCTTAAAAAAAAAGAAAAACATCATTGAAAAGAATGAACAGTGAAAGAGAGGTAGTGCAATGAAATGTAAGTAAAAGAAGAGAAAGAAAAACGGACTTCTTTGAGTTGGGGGTAGATTCCGATGAGGGGAAATTTGCTTATGGGGACAGAGAAACCGAATGACTTTGCAACTGCCCCACTGCTCTAGCTTTGGGGAACTTGAAACAATGTCCATGAGACAAAAATATGTCTCAAGATCTGTGCTGCCAATCTGGACTGCCATCTGCACAAAAAGAAAATTGGGCTCCTGCAAGAGCTGCTGCATTCCCTCAGGCTACATGACTATCTGCCTGGAAGGCGAAGGTGAAGCCTCCAGAGTTTTCCATTTGCTGGCTTTGGAGGACAGTCCCGCAGACTAAGAGCATGACACTGTGGCTTCCTTTTCAATCCTGCATTGCTAACAGAGGCTCAGTTCTGTGAAGTAAACCCACACCTTCAGTGTGATGCATAAGCATTGGGAGAGGCTTTCCATGGCTTTGCATCGCTGGGGGGGTCTTAGGCTTTCAGTGGCAACCACTGTTCTACATCTCCATGCAGAGTGCCTGTCCTGACAAACACTGAGTCCCTCAGATCGCCCCTGTGCCAGTTGGCTGCCGTGTGTGTGTGTGTGTGTGTGTGTGTGTGTGTGTGTGTGGGCATGCATGCTGGTTATTTCTTCTTCTCTCATTGCAAATTTAACCAGTCTGTCTCTCTTCACCTGGAGATCATTTCTAGGCTTCCCTCTGATTGGCTGTTTTCTCCATGCCCCTCACCCTTCCAAACCACCTTCCCTCCAGGCCTCTTAATCTGACTCAGAAACTTACCTATGGAAAGCCTTCTACAATTAGTCTTGCTTATTGTAACAATGGCCCACTCTTTATATATGGTATTGGGGCATACATGTCCTGTGTTGATTTTTAAAAACATAATTGTTCGTTATGCCATTGGCATATGTTCATCCATTTATTTGGGGTTTTGTGTGTTCCATAAGCTAAACATTTTTATTATGGCCTGCTACCATGGAGGGGAGAAGGGAAGTGCTAACTTGAATAAGATTCAGAATCTGATCTTGAGTTTGCACCATCTGGAAATAAAAATGCAGAGTGAAAGCTACCTGGAGATACAGACCATATCAGTCAGGATTGTCCAAAGAAACCGAATCAGTGTGAGAATATATATACATATATTTATGATTTATTTTAAGAATTTGGCTCATGCAATTGTGGGGACTGGCAAGTTTGAATTTCTGGAAACTCAGGAAGGAGTTAATGCTGCAGTCTTGAGGCAGAATCTGTTCTTTTCCAAGAAACTTGTTTTTGCTCTTAGACCTTCAACTGATGGGGTGAGGCCCACCAACAATATTGAAGGTGATCTCTTTTACTTAAGGTTCACTGATTATAAATGTTAACCACATCTACAAAATATCTTCACAACACCTAGATCAATATTGTTTAAAAAGCCAGGTACTGTTGCCTAGCCAAGTTGACACATAAAACAAATCATCAAAAGGACCAACCAACAAATAAATAAGCCTGTCCTGGGTATCAGACCAGAATTATGCCCAGCCCTACACAAATAAAAAAATATAAGATCCAGGAGAATAAAAATCTTTATATTCCTTCTGACTAATGGAGACTTTACTTCAAAACACGGTAAAATAGCCATTCTTCCCAGCTCACAGAATTGTTTTGAAAACCATATGATGGTTTGAAAGACCACAAGGGCAACTTGTTTGTATTTTGAACACCCCGACAGTCCCCAGCAGTGGCGACACACCTACTAAATGTTGGTGACACCACAGAGGCCCCACATTCTCACCATTCTCTCTGCTGAGCAGCTGCGAGAGAAAAGAAAATCTTGGGCTTCAGCTCTACAAGAATGCCAGTCATTCTGTGCCCTGTGTCTGGAGACCACAACCTATTACTGCAAACTAAGTGGGGAGAAATATCTCAAAAAGAGGTTGATTTAGCCAGAAATATCTTAGAGTGAGGTGAGCATCCCCTTTATGTATATAGTACTTGTTTCCACAGAAGGGGGTCTAGAACATTCATACCCTCTTGAGGAAATTTGAGGTCAACCCCATTCTCTAGGTCATCCGTGAGACACTCTCTTTCACAAACATGGACTCTAAAACCTCCTCACGCCCGTGCTTTCTCTGCATCTTGTGTTCCTGCCACTGAGAACGCACACATCAGAGATGACACCTCCGGCCCCTTTGCTGAGCACAGAGCCTCGTGTCCACCACAGCGCCCAGCTTCTGGTCTCACCTCTGCAGTCCACATCTCAGGGGGATCCCTGGGTACTTTACCTGTGAGGCAGGTGGCTCCCATAACCACCTCTGTCTGGAACATCTCACACCTATGATCCTGCCTTCAAGGTGCAATTTCCTC